GTTTTGTTTGTTTTGTTTTGGGGGTTTTGTTTGTTTTGTTTTGGGGGGTTTTGTTTGTTTTGTTTTGGGGGTTTTGTTTTGTTTTGGGGGTGTTTGTTTTGGTTTGGGGTTTTGTTTGGTTTGTTTTTTTGTTTGTTGTTGGTTTTTTTTGTTGTTGCTGGGGTTTTTTTGTGTGTGTGTTTTTTAGTATAACAGGGTTTTGGATTTTCTTTTTGTTCTTTGTACATTTGTTAGCTGATACAAACTATTTTACTCCTGTATGCGTGCCTACAAAAAGCTAAAATTTGGGAAGTTTTTGAGTAATAGTAATTAAATTTTCAAATTTTAGATGAATAGGCCTTGAAGTGACTTAAGAGTTTTTTTCTTGGTTTCTGAGTGGTCTTGACCTCACATTCTGTATTGTTAGTGTTCAGACTAAGTCCTTCTTGACTGGGAAAAGCTGCATATACCAAACTCTGGTGTTCTTAATACATTAGGTGATACTAAAAGGAAAAAAAAAAATGTTTCTGAACAGCTTTTCTTTCTTGGACAGCTTACTTTTAAGACCTTCTCTTTGAAATAGTTAGACCCTTTAATTTAATTGGACAAGCTTGATTTAGAAAGTGGTACTACAGGATAGATCATGATCACTTAGTGGTTCTGGTCTACTTCATATCTTGTCTTTCATTGCTGTTGCCAGTTCCATTGTTTGGAATCTGCAGGCCATAAAAAACCTTTTCTCTTGTACTACAAATGCAATTAGGGAGGAATATGTTTGAAGGTTGGAGTTTTGCTTCACTGTAACTTTAAACCAGTAGGTGTTGCCCTTTGAATAAGGAAAGATGGGGAAAGGTCCATACTAGCAACTCTGTATTTTTCCTCTGAGACACATGTATGTTTTTTATACATCTACAACATGAGCAGCAAAGGTCTATGTAGCCTTGCCCTTACAGTTTATGCTAAAATCCCTCTCATATGAAATTTTTCTTTTGTCACATAAGTATTACTTGAGTTGTCTGACTCATCTATCAGCTGTAACATCCTTGAAAATTTACACCCTCTGTAGAGCACAAGGGTTTTCATCTTATTATCTTTCAGTTTGGGAAGATGATAAGGGGTCTGACAGTTCTTTTAAAATAAAAAATATAGCTGAATGCAGGAAAGAAAGTAACAGCTGTAAGATCAACTAGTGTACAGGGTGCATGCAACTGTATTGGTGTTTGTGAATTGTAGTCATCTCTACTTATTGTCATAGGTTTGCATTGCAGAGTGAGCACAGATGACATGAACTTGATATTTTTTCAAACAACTAGACTGGAAGATGTACTTCACTAATGGATTTTCAGTCCACAGGGCTGGGTCAGAACAAGTGTCTGAAGTATGAATACTTAGTCTTCAACACTGGCTCTTGCTATGCACCACCACACTGTGTTACTCTGCAGCGTGCTGCTCCTGAGTACTTCAGTCAGACCTCCAAGACCTCCAAGCTTGAAGCAGTGTGGTGATGAATTTCACAAAAGGTTAGAAATGCAAGCTTTTAATAAGTACAAAAATCTGCATTTAGTAAGGACAGAATATTCCTCCTAATACCACATGCTGATTACCATTTTTGGCTTGTCGTCAGTATCATCAGCTCATGTTTTTTAATACTGCCAGCTTGTGGTGTTTATTTTCTTAAACTGAGTTCTGAAGTTTGTGATTATGTGAGGCTATTAGCTTTCCATTAATGAAAGAAGCATTTTTAGTTTAATTTAAAAACACAACTGTGGGCCCATACAGCTGTAAAGCCATAATGAAAACAAAAAAGGTTTTTTTGTTCTAAATGTTTTTTTGTATTTAAATCTTGTTTGTTTGTGTTTTGGCTCATAATGCTCTGAAGTATGTTGTTTTGCTGTTTTTCACTGTGTGTGCAGCAAAACTTTCTGAAGTGTAAGCTGTCCAAAAGTCCCTCTGGACATAAATAGGGTATTTTCAATTGAATAAGAGATGTCTAGGTCACATGCTGGAGCCCTTCAGAGTACAGAACTTACTTTCTGTCCCACTGGCAACCTGGTGAGGTGGCTTTACTAATTGCCAACAAATGTGTAAGTAACTTCCTTCTGTCTGAGGAAGAGACATAAAGCAGGAAATGTAGATGACAAATTCTCCTATGTTAGATACAGTCCTGCCCTAGGGCCTTGTCACCAATAAGGACAAACAGTAGGAAGAACATGAATCTTTGTACAATGCTTTGGTGTATGTTTTGGTGGAGGAATAGAAGAAAAATTTTTTGCAGGACCCACATTAGCTTCTGACACTGCAGAGTCTGAGGAAACAAGATGGCATCCAAGAGCCAGTAGGAACTGTTGATATGGGGGAAGTAAGTTTGCAGATTTTTTTTTTGTTGTTATTGTGATTTGGAGCTTTTGTATGGAAGAAACATCTGTTTTCTACATTTTATTAGCTTTTACAGCAACTACTGCCTAGTTTTCCTTTATATGATTTTTGCCTCTATTAGAGATGAAAAACTTTGAAGCAATTAAAAATGTAGTAACTTTTTAATCTGCCAATATAAGTTTCATAAACGAGCATTGATAGCACAGCTCTGGCAGTGAATAAGAGGAGGAAGAGAATGCAGAGATTATGAGGGAATTTAATGTTTGTGTTTAATAGTATACATTTCATATCCTTTGGGTGGGCTGATGCAGGCACAAATATTAATAGTGCATATTGAACCCAGGAAAAAAAATCATAGTACCTCTTTTTGGTAGTATTTGTAAGCAGATTAAATTGAGTGTTGATAAATGCAAAGTTGCATATCTTTATAGTACAAGTCACATGGCAGTATGGGTGCATGGATAGGCCCTAAAATACCATCAGCGCTCAGGAAATGGAATGAGGATTCTTCTTTAAAATGTCACTTCAACCCAGACATCTGTCAACAAGCTTAGACTATTAAGAAAAAGAGGGAAACATCTCATTTTTACAATACTTTAAATGTAAGGTTTGCTCTTGGCTTAAATGCTACATTTCTGGTTGCATCATCTCAAGAAAAGAATTGAAAAACTAAAGAAGATACAAAAAAGGATGACAGAGTAATTAAAAGAAAGCAATTGCTTCCAGACAAGCAAGGTTTATATAGTTACAGCCCTTCAGTCTGAAGAAGAGACAGCTGGCTGGTGTGAGGAGGCTGTATTATAGAAGTCTTTGAAATCATAGAGAGAGGGTAACTAGGCAATAAGTAATTTTTTACCAATAGAAGAACTCACTGACAGTTATAATCCAGGAACTGTATTTTCATATTAGTTTGGTTGAATTCTGTGTCTCACTTATGCAGTAATGTTAGAGTGGTCAAGATGAGTTGATCAGGAATTTGTACAGTGTCTTCAAAGACAGATCCATTGTGGGTAGGTATTAAATGTGATCGTAGGCTAGTGGAGATCCTGAAGTTGTGATTGCTGGAACCTGACGGTAGGTCCATAAGATATGATTCCCTGTATGTCCTGATGCTTTGATGCGAGCTAAAGACTTCCATCCCTCCTCACTGAGGGGACAGCTAGAACTAGTTCTAGAACAGGAAATTGCAGTTAAAAATTGAGATATTCTGGATGGTGTCCAGGAGCTGTCCCCAGTGTAAGCAGAATTGCATTGACTGCACAGGAGGTGAGACTTTGTAGTTTAGAGGGATTTATGAAGATACTTAATCTGCTCCAGGGGCATGTAGCTAATGGATTTCCTTCTGCTTGGAGGTGCTGCCTTGACATATGAGCAGAGGTTATCAGCCTTCCAACATTTGTACCCTAATGAATTTATTACTTCATATGTAAGGCCCACCACACCGAGTGAACCTGAAACTGAACTGACAGTCTTTGTAGAGTGATGATGCACTCTGCAGTGAGTAATCTCTTCTCAGTGCTTTATTCTTGCCTAGAAACTTGTATAATTTTGTGTTTCAGCAAGACTGGAGAAAAGGTCCAGATATTCTTGAGAAATATCTGTGCTGTTCTCGCAGCCATTAATTTTGTCCTCGCTAATCTGCATCTTTCACTATCTGAGCCACTGCAGTCCTGGAAACAGTCATGGAAAACTGTTGTACTGAGAATATTGCCTAGAAGAGGGGAGAGCATTGTTCTCTGGTGCATCCACCTCATTACTTTTTATGATGACAAGAGATTTCTTGGATCCTGTCCTATTTCCTGTTCACATATCATTGCTTTTCCATCAGCATCAGGTTTCTTCTAGTCTCTCAACTAAGATTTATTTTTCTAATGATTATGTACAGGAAGGCTGGTATTTTAGAAATCTAATTATTCAGCATTGCTATAGGTTTGAAAAGAGATACTGTAAATTTTTTTCCCCCCAATATCAATTACTGGATAGTGTGCACCTACGATGTCCCCCCACTCTCTTTTCCAAGCTCTGGGGGAAGGCGTGGGGGGGAGGCAGCGGGGTTGCGCGCAGAGGGGAGAGTTCCTTTTAAAACCGGCAGCACACCGGGCTTTTGTTTGTGGTTTTTCCTGCCTGCTGCCCGACAGAACCGGCAGCCACCTTCTTGTTCTCCTGTTTGATATTTTTTTTTTTTTCCCCCCTCCCCTGGACGAGAAACCTTCTCCCTGCCTGGCACTGCTGACAGGGAGCGGCCCCATTCCTTTGCCGGCCGTCACGGCACCTGCCGACCTCTCCGAGCGAGGTGTCTGCCTCGGGCTACGCCCTGTGCCCGGTTCTGCGGGTCAGAGAATCTTCCTGCGGCAGCTGCCTGACCCCTTCCACCGCCCACCGCTGCGGGCAGTTATTTCCTGAGCTGTGGAGCCCCGAGGTGTTACCGAGGACCGTGCCCATAGCCCTGGGACTGGCGGGAACCCCCCCCTTCATGGCTGGCAGTGGAGCCGCCATGGCTCACGTGGCTGTGAGCAGTTGTTGAACTGGCGGGAGCAGCCCGCGGACCTGGGGAAGTAAGGTTTTGTTTTGAAAGTTTGGGTTACACCGCTGTTGCTCATTTGGGTTTGTTTTATATACGTGTATGTATGTGTATTAATAAAGAGCTGTTATTTTCTTTTTCCACACCTCTCACCTGAAGCTGCCTAATTTCGAAGTTGTAATAACTTAGAGGGAGGAGTTGGGTTCCCCTTTTTTTTTCCCCTAACGCGCCCTCCTTAGCAAACATTTGTCTCTTGCTGAACTAAGACAAGCGTTAAAAGAGAATAAGAGAATATGAAATTATTTTGTGTGTCTTTTATCCTTGAGAACTGTATAAAAAAACTATTTGGGGAGTTTAAATTAGAAACGTTATTAATGGAATGTGCTAGAGGGCTGTGACATCTTCTGCAGAAAGAGAAGCCTTGGAGTTACTAGTTGGAGTTCAGTACTCAAGCTTAGCAAAAAGCAGTTCTGGTCAAAGTTCCTTCTACCTTTACTGTAGCGTAGTTGTATGTGCTTTTGGGTACCCCCTATGTTCTTTAAAGCACATAAACACTGAGAATTTGTTTCAAGCTCCATACATATAGGTGCCTTAAAACCTGCGTATTTTATACACTTGTGTTGCTAATTTTTGGAATTTTATGGACTGAAAAGATGCAGATAAGAATGGAGGTGGAAAAGCTTCTGCCTGGAAGATCCAGTAATTCCAAGTGATTACTGGATTTTATCACTTCTTTATAAATGAGCAGAAGGGCTTCTTGATCTTTGCTTTACTAAAGAAACATATTGCCTGAAACAAACCTCCTAACATTTTGCTTTTCTCATGTTGCTTTCTGGTTTTGTGGTTTTGGAGCTATACTAAGTGCTGTGATTTATTTAGGATTATGGCACAGCAAGTTGAGGTCGAGGTGAGTATTTCTGTTGGTTGGCAGAATTGAAGCTAGCACCTCCTGCGGTTCTGTCAAGTTTTGAGCCTTTTGTATGTTTTCTGAGGAGCTGATTAGGATCCCCTCCCGCTTTTGCCCACCAAGGTTCTTGGGGCTAGTGCTTTCAACTCGGTGCTTGCACCTTTGTAGTCATCAGTTGCAGAACATGCTCGAATTAATTTTTTAAAAAATGTGGTCTCTTGTAAATATTATGAGTAGGGATTTAATTTTGTATTTATGGAGGGAATAGATATTAATTAAAACAATGGCTTTGTGCAATTGCAGACTAATAACGTGTTCCTGTGGCAGAGCTGTATGAGATTTTTTTTCTTGTTTTAAACACTGAATGCCGAAAATATTTGACTGATATTTGGACTGATAGCTGAATGCTTGAAAAAATGGACAGAACAAATGCTTGTTGTGAATGAAAGGTTGCACAACTGCAGGCAAGACATCTTTCTAAGTCATTATGTCCAGCCACGTTTTTAAAAGGTATGATTAAAATAACAGTCTTGGGTGAATATGAAAGTTAGCCATGAGTTTAGTTTCCAGTGGGAGAAATTTACTCAATGTTTGTAAGATGACTCTTTGCCTAAGGAGGGTGGGTATTGGCATGTTTGACATATTTGACCTGATGACTCCGTTTTTCACTTTGGACATATGAATTCACTTCTGTGAAGAATTAGTTTTTGTAGACTTGTATCAAATAAGATATCTTTCTTTCTTTTGTAGTATTTGTAGGTATATTTTTACTTTTTTTTTCTTTTATTTTCATGCTTACCATGTAAAATCCTTTCCGAAAGCAGCAGTAAACTGTAAGTAAATAAAATGCAAATTCTCCAACAACTGTTTTGTTGCCCAGTTGTATGGTCCCAAATGAGTTTTAAAACCAAAGTAATGAAAGATTACAAGTATCAAGAATAAACTCCTCATTGTAGCAACAGATTATCACATATATTGTAATTCAGTGGTCAAATGATAGTCTGTAGGATAGTATCACTAAACTTCTAATTATGTCAAATCACTGTCACTTTTTCAGGGATTAAACTGAAATAGTATTGGGGAGGGGATGTAAATTTTAGGAGGTAAGGATAGGTGAATATAAGAGAAATTAAGCGCTGGGATTAATGACCCTATTTAACATGATAGACTGTAGTTTATAAGTATTACCTTGGAGGCTTGAAGAAGGGGTTACTTTGATTTTTTTTCTTTGGGAAATGCATAGGGGAAACATTCATTGGTACTTTATGTGACAGTAGGATGGGGAGATAATTTTAGAATTCATGCCTTATTATAGTCTTGTGGTTTCAGAATGTTGTCAGTAGCAAACCCAATGACAGATGAGTAAGGTAACACAGGTGTATCTTGCTTTATTCTACTGAAGAAAGGATCTACAGGCACCCGATGGGGAATTTGAACTGCAGCTTAGTTCTCCCCCTAATATATAGCCTGAAAGTACTGAACAAAAATAAAAGAAGGAAAACAATTTGTAATGCTGTGCTAATCTAGAATAAAAGCAAACTGTATACATTGAGAAATTGTAATGGTTTGCTGCTGCTGCATGTTTACTTTTCTTGCAAGCGGAAATAATCATTTACTTAAAGTTGTGTCTGCCATCAGCATAAAATATGTCATGATACTGAAAATATAAATCACTCTGTGTATCACCCTATGTTTAAGTATGGGCTTCAATTGCAGCAGACTCAGGTTAAACATTAGGAAACTTTCTAGTAGAGAGGATAATGAAGCGCTGGACTAAATTGCTTGGGGAAGTCATCCATGCCTGGAACCTTTGGAACAGGGTCTGCAAATACTGCCAGAAGAGGTAATGGTATGGTTTATAATCCCACCCTACCACTTTGTGTAACAGGATTTCTCAGAGTCAGTGCCTATTTCTTGGGATTTTTTTTTTCTGGGAGAAACTTGGGGCACATAGACTTGGCTGTTTGTTCTTAAAACTGAAAAAAAAAAAAATTCCTTGCAATTGAAATGGTGCTTTGAATCAGCATTTCCTTTTCAGTAATAATATGCTAGATTACTTCCAGTAAGGAAAAAAAAAATCAACCATGCTGTTGAAGTTCAGGTCTTTTGTACTGTGCTTTTTGGCTTTCAGTGAAAGTCAAAAGCTTTTGGACAGTTCAGTGAAATAGTGTGTGTTCAAAATTTAGATTAAATGGTTACAGCAAAAGAAAAATATTGCTATACATTTTTCTATTATAATTACATATTTTCTATTTTCTATTATAATTAATAAGATTTCTTTTTTTTTTATATCACACTTCTAATTAAATGGGTATTTCAATTGCAGGGGTTCTTTTGTGTTTTGTTTTTTGGAGGGGGAGAAGTTAGAAAGTAGAGACTGAAAAGAAATGTTTTGACTGATACTGTTTGAAGTCTGTAGCATCCAGCACTTTATCTTAAAATACCTGCAGATGATGTGTGAACTTGTTAAGTAGTAAAAATGTTCCAGTTGATTGCTTTAAGTTTTGCCTACAGTGACTTCTCAAATAGCTGATTTAAAGTAATTCCTCAATTACTCTTCCAAATAAATCATTGTAAGCCTCGTTTATTATATGTGATCATATTGCAAAAATGGCAACATATAGTAGTTTTTATTTTGGTGTTGGATAGTCGCATTAATTTCCTGGCTTCTTTATGCTAATTAAAGAAGGCGTTTTTCATCTGTTTCGTCAGAAATTCATAGTCCATCCTCAGCCTCTCTGGGTGACTGCAGAAGACATAGAATTGTGTCATCACAACAGATGAGCAAGTTGAGGGTAAAAACTTTTAATATGATTATTCACAGCTGTAAGAACAGATGAAATAAAATATTCAAGAGTTCTGTTTTGAACATGACAATATCAGAAAATTAAGAGAAAGACTTCAGAAATGTGGGAACATTAAATTATATGCATTATTTTGGTATATAGAGGAAGAAAGAGAAGAACTGTAACATTTAAACACAGATGCTCTTTATAGTCTACTAAGAAACCAAAAAGCACTCCATTAAAATGTCTCTTGTAGGTGGTTTTTAAACCAGAGTAGATAAAAATAAATGAGACTGAAAGCTTACATGCAAATTGTTAATGTGTTCAGGCCTTTTGGGGATCATTAGGTAGTTTGTGGCCTATAATGAAATACTGAATTAGTGAGTTGTAATGCTGTTGGCAGCTGCATCTGTATATGAAAGGTAGTAAGTATCTGCATAATCTGAATTTATATAGCATTTATCTCGGGTTGTTTAATACAACCCTGCAGAAGAATGATAAGGTGTTTCCTTCAGGGGAGAGGGGAGAGATGGGAAGAAAAGTAATTCTTAATAAATAGCATTCTTGGTAATGTCTTTATTTTAATTCCTTTAGACTATGTCTGAATGTATCCAGCTCTCATTTGCTGTTTGTAGAATTGGCATTTACACGGTAAGGCAACATTTTAACTAACTATTTTGTTGTTAGTGTTAATGCCATTTGAGTGAAAAGAATTTGCTTAAGTTTTTTAGGATTGGAATTGAGTAATGCAGATAGCGAAAGGTATTTGTCATACTAATTTACATAAAGAGACTACAGTGTGTTTTTGTCCTGTCAAAGATTTACTAATACCAGAATAAAAAAAGTATTCTCCACTTTACTTAAAAAGGTAAAGAAAAATTCAGCCAACATCTTCAGGTATAAGAAAATCTAGAATTCATGTGCATCAGTTGCTGAGAATTCTTGCCTAATGTAATTGCTGAAGGGTTTGTGTACATTTGCTGTTAAATATCTAAAATGTTTGAGTAATGTCATATATTAAAACTTGTTACCTAAATGCACATATTGCAAACTTTGTCTGAAGAGCCTTAATGTATTCCAAATGCGAAATTAAACTTCCCAAACATTATATTAAGAAATGAGGTTTACTTCAAGCATACGTCCCAAATATGCTTATTTTTTTTCTGTTCCCAGTTGTTCCAATTAATGATGAGAACAATTAGATGAGTGGGGTGTTTCATAGAAACGTAGAAGAGTGTGTTGCTCAGATCATGCTTCATATCCTGGAGGTTTTGGAGCATGAGTGCTGCTCCTTCTGTTAACACTTTTCAGGATGCAGGCTGGCACATGCCACTTCGTGTTTGACTGGAATGTAGTCAGAACTGTAGGTGAGTTTTGAACAAAAGTGATGAGCACTATATGCCATCAGTAAGTCTTAATAGAGAATAGAATCACAAAGCTTAACATTTGCTTTTGTTCACAGAATTTGGTTGCCTTAATATCTGCTTGAAGTTTTTTCCCCATGACATTTGCCTCTGTTGTGTTTTCAACATTTGAAAGTCTAGTTTCTAAATGGTAGAAAATAACAGGTTGGGGCAATATGGACAAAATACTCATGGAGGAAAGCACTACTTGCAAAATCAAAGGTATATTTTCCTGTGGTATTTAAATTTCTTAGGAAGACTTCTTTTCTAAAAATCCTGTGTGATAAGAGAAATTTAAATGAAAGATCAGAGAGGGTTACAGTATGAGGTTTTCATGGTTGCAAGGTACACAAACTGTCTGCCAGCTTTTTAGGAATGTCCAAGTATAAATATGTGTGTATTGCAGATCTGAGTGTAAAAAGGTACAATGTACAGCAAAATACATGCTCTGACAATAATTGGTTCAGTGTTAGTTTAAAATAGATTAAGTTGTCTGTAAACCACAGTGCACAGCTAAGTGGTAGTTAGTAGCTGTGGTTATAGTGACAGTTGTGTAGCTGGTATCTCACTGTGAACTTTTGGGCAGCAAAATACTTAATTTCATCAAATGTTTTAAATTGAAAAATAAAAAGGACTACCTTCACATATGAAAATGCTGAGAGAAACTGATTTCATTGACTGCTGGTACTTAACAAAGGACAGTAAGGAGGATGATGAGTAGGCTTCCAGAGTATCCAGAGATGCACTGTTGTGGCCACAGTTGTAGAGGCAGCACATGGGTCCCATGAAAAGTGCATTTGAAGGCTTGCTTAGTTCCGTTAAGAAAGTGTTAGATGCAGAGAATACTTGCTTATATGAGAATGCCTGTCATTGGAAAGGTGAGTTTCAGATGATCTAACTGGGAAGTGGGCTTGGACAGCTTTGATATCAGAGTAAACAGAGAGGCCTGCTGAAGTGAGCTATGCAGAAATGCAGCATGATAGTTCCTCCCTGTGTTCTGTGCCCTGCTTATGCTTGTAACTCTGCTAGATTTATTGCTCAGGTATGTGAGCATCTGGCAGCTAGCAAGTATTGTGGTCCGTACTGATGTCAAGAAACAAAACACAAAACTCCATATTTCCTTTTTAATTAATTCCTTGTGTTGTGTTCTTTCTGCTGCATGCTGTTTTGCAGATTTAATAGATTTTTTTTTTTTGCTAGTTGATTGATTTTTGTGCAAAATCTAAGGAGTCCCTGGAACTCCAGTCCTTAGCAGCACCGTGTTTTCAGTTTTACTGTATTACTTGGACACTTACTGTTCTGCATGTCCTCATTGTACAGTACTGCAAGTATCTTACAAAGGCTCTCAGTCCTTTGGACTACAGACATCTCAACTGTTAGTCTGTTATCAATCTACTTATCAGTAACACTCTCAAGCAACCATTACTTTAACTGTACTATACCATTAAATAGGCTTCCTGTTTTTATGGCATATATGATTATGAGATGGAAGGGTTTATATAGTGATCCATGGCAAAAGAGCATGTGATGCCTTCAACTACCATAACTAAGAAGACAAAAGCTTTGTCTTGAGCTAGGAAAAACATACATCTTTGCAGGAGTACAGAAGGAGATATAATGCCTATTTTGTGGGAATAAACCAAGTGAGTTTACTTTGAAGTGTATACCCTTGAAGGGCGATAGAAGAAAAGCAAAGGTGGTTAATATAAAAACTGTATAGATATTTGTGAGGATCTGAAACTCATAGATGTGTATCCTAAAAGGAAAACATTATCACAAACTCAAATGAAAACTTTTAGGATTAAGAAATCACTCAACCAATGAAAATAAACTCTATTTCCTGCATGTTTTACACAGCTAGTAGCTTCTGGCAGGAGTACCAGTTTTTCAGGTGTCTGTTTCTGCTTCTTCCACTATACTAGTGTCTGCATCAGATGTGTCAATTGGATGTGTGGGAACAGGCAGATAAATTACTTCTTGAATCTGCTTGGCTGTGGAAATTGTAAGCATATGGCAGATTGTAACTAAGCTTATCATTATGTTATAGTTTATTTCCTTTTTTGTTTCTGATTTAGTTTTCTTGACCAGGTAAAAATTCCAATAAAATAATGATGGCAAATTCAACCTACATGAACTTCAGAGGAAAAATGATCTGAATTTTTTTGTTTTGAAAAACAATTTTTATGATGGAACATTTGCCACCTTAGATACTTAGGAATCCATCTCAGAAACAGTGTGCATGATTGTATGCCTACACATGTTATCTGGAAGGTTCTCTGATATTCTGTATTAGGCTTTGAAACTTCTTTCTTTTCAGCTGTTTGCATATAATTTTAAGCTTGAACAGGGGTGTCTGCATCTGGCCCTTAACTATGACTTCAGGAACACATGAAAAATAATTTTCACATTACTTGTTGTTTTGGATAGCAAAGCAAGGACAGAAGCCTCTGCAGGGATGAGAACCATGCAAAAATACCTAAGGAGACTTAGTGGAAACATGGTCTTCTGCTGCTATACATTAGAAGGAAAAATACTGGAAAATAGCATTTTCCTGTCTCAGGAAATTATAAACTAATAGTTTTCCTTGGTTTCAAAATGGAACATCATTTGATAAATAATTTTGTTTAAAACCAATTTTGTTTAACAAAAAGCCCTCCGTAGAGCTTTCTTCTTTCAGATGCTGGGTATGGCAAAAATGACACACTGTAGCAGCATTGCATCGATGTTGGCAATGTCTTGCCTTGAATTTGCATAGTGAGATGTGGAAATAAATGATGCATTTTTTACAGCTGTACTTTCTATAGTTTATATATGTTAAGTATAGTAAATGATGCAAATGTGCTTTTAGTTTTCTGGTTTACATTGAACTTACTTATATTTGCCTTTGTTTATAATAATAAATTGATGTTGAAATGGTTTGACTGGAAACAACTGTTGTGCTGAGGAATTTGTCTGACATTAGAACAAAACAGAAATAACATTTACTGATGAAGTCGTGGAGGGGAAGCTTTTAAGAGAAGAGAAACCAAGGCAATAACTAAAGGCAGCCATTGAACAGGAAGTAATCATGGGAGTATGTTTGGAAGGCTGTGGAGCCAGCCTGTGACTTACAGTATGGAAAGCTTCCTGTGAGATTGTTCCTGCTTCCCCTCCCTGACATGGTTTCCCATTGGAAAATGCTAAGTTAAAGTAATAACAAAACTCATATAGCATATCCTGTCTGCTCCTCCCTTTCCCATGTCATGTTCTTGACCTGAGCAGCAAAACAAAGGCACAAAAGTACAGCCGGAAAAAATCCTTTTATGTGCTACCCTCTGGGAAATGTGTATAATCCCATTCACAGCCACTGCTGATGTTCTGTGGGTAGACTGTTGGAAAGGTGTAAATGCTTTTAACTTCCACCCTAAAATAAAAGGTTCTTGCTGTCACCGGAGTCTTGGCAGTGACTTGCAGGGGGTGAGACTGTGCCCATTTTTTGTTGTAAATCTGTAGTCAAGCTGCTTGAACCATGATAGTTGGGATTTGCAGTGCTACCAACCAAAACATGAGAAAGACTGTTCTGATGCATGTATTGCTCTGTGCATGTGAATGTTAGATATAATGTACTGTACTCACATTACTGAGCAGCTTCTCCTTGTGGCCAGAGCTCATTTGATCTGTGAAAAGAGCTCAGCAGCTTGGTCCAACCGATGCTGCTGCAACAGCATTGCTTCCCTGAGCTACTACCTTGATGTACACTGTATTTACAGCTCTTTGAGAACCTCTGACAACTAGTAACTGATTTAACTGCGAAAGGTATGGTTTGTCAAATCAGCCAGTTAATTTTTGCATAATGTCTGTTTGACAAACTTGCAGGTTGGAATAGAGCTTTGTCCTGGACTAGGGAGTTGATGAATAGGGGTTGTGTTCCCTCTGATTTATCTCTGCTGTCAATGGCCCCTTCCTGCTCTAGAAAGCAGCAGTGTTGTTCCACAGGCCATTAGCTTTAGGGAGGGTAAGAGGAAAAGCCCAGATCCTCATTACAAAAAGTCTCCAGTCTTTTCTGTTCAGACAAGTTGTTGTTCAATTTGCATTTATCAAAGCTGTGTTGTCAGTTATCCTGTACATAAGTGCTATTTTGCTTCTTTCCTTTGGAAGTCAAGATTCCTAATCCTTAATCCTGCTGTCTTTCCAGAAAACTGTTGTGTAATGTCATGACAGAATGTCATGTTTTGCCTTCAGTGGCTGTTTCACATGAAAGATTAACTA